ATTCTAATGATGTTTTAAATTTATGATCTATACTTTCTTGAAAGGCTTGCTATTGCGATGAAGATGTTTCTCTTTATATTAATTCTCCTTGATATTTTTGTAAAAGATTTTGTAATCCTGCTTCTTGTGAAAAAATCTTTGTCATGTAATGTTATTAGAAGTATGGTGTGATTACTTCCCATAATATCTTTCATATCTTAATTATCGAATTGAAATAGTGGATAATTTGTTAAACTAAAAAAAATCCAAATATAATCTATTCTACTACTACTTGTTAAGTTTTTTCTTATTGAAGTTTTCTTTTTGTCTTCTCATGTGACTTGCATATCTATAAAGTCTTATTCATTAAGAAAGTTAAATAATGGAATTTCAAGTCACATGATGGTTTGAAGCTTGCTTTGAAAGAAGACTTTCTATCCTCTGATGGGTTATAGGTTGTATTAAAGTCTCCTATTACTATTGTGTAAAAGCCTTGTCCATGTTTTTTTTAATAAGATTAGTTATCTTATTCTGTACCATTTTACACCTTAGTTTATTAGAAGAAATATAGATTTGTATAATATAGATCTTTTTTTTTTTCATAAGTATATTGGCGGCAATAATGTATCCTTCTTCTTTTCTACTAATACAACCTTTTTTTTCAAATATTTTCTAATTAAGAGACTAACTCCTGCTCCAAATAGTGTATCTTTGTTGATACTATGAAAGTGTTTATAATCTTTTTGATTGTTAAATACCCACTGTGTATTGACTTGTATTAGTTTTGTTTCACATAATCCCAATATGCCTATTTCTTGTTTTAGTATCTTTTCAAACAGGTTTTGTTGTTTTGTTATATCTGTGATTCCTCTGACATTATGTGTGCTGATTCTGATTGCCCTTTTATCTATATCATCTTCTTTTTGGATTTTCTTAAATAGTTTGTGTCTACTATTGTTATTTAGAAAATCTTTTTGCTCATCTTGTAAAAATGTTGAGATATCTAGATACACCATTTTTTCCAACTTATTATTGTTTATTAAAGTTCGTTTGTTGCTCATATCTATAGTTTTTGATGAAGAGGCAGTGGGTTCTTGCTTTTCTTAGTTGTTATCAAGAATTGATGTGCCTTTAGGAGCGGTTTGCTTCTCTATTACTTTGTCTTTATTTCTTGAAGACTGTCTGTCTTTCTAAAGTATTCATTTTAATATATAGTCTTTCCAGATTGACTAAAATATTCTTAAAAAGATTTTGAGGACTTTCTATTTTGGGTCTTCCTTCATCTTCCAGAAAACCATGTCTATTGATTCACTGATTTCTAATTAATTCTCTATTGCTTCCTGTTACTGGATATTCTCTTCTTTTGTTCTTTTCTCGTTCTATTCTATTGTGACTTTTGTATCTAATTCATTTTTGATTTCTGAAGCTATAATAGCTTGGTGAAGTGGAAATATATTTTATTGATTTATTATCTGATTGTGTATTTGATATTGATTAATTATCTACTTATATGCTTTTGAACCTAAATTTTGTATTTTTATTTTCATTTTTAAGATTTGATCTTTTCATTTTGGAAGTATGCTTGATACTTCAAGAAAGGTGATGTTCCTGTAAGAAAATATGTTATTTGCATACCTTATCTCTTTTTTCTTTCATTTTGAATTAGACTACTGTAAAGTTATGCTTTTTGAGTATATAGGGATCTTTGAATATATAACATATCTTGGCTTGAGTACCATTTAATTCTTTGGCTATCAGGTTAGTGTAGATTTTGTCAGTATCTAGGAGTCTTGCTGAATTATCATTTTTCTCAATTAATACCTGGTTAATTTTATTATCGCTAAGTTCAAACTTAGAGAACATAGCTCTTGATATTTTTGTATTGATTGAAATCATCCAGATTGCTTTAGAATTTAAGCTGAGATATTTGTGCCATTTGATATAAGCCTTTATCCATAGTTTTGTGTTTACCTCGTAGATATGAATATTTTGGACTTCTCTATATCTTTTTAGATGTACCTTTATAAGGTTCTTATTGACTTTTTGATTCATATTTATTAGACATATATGCCAGATCTCAGTATTTTCTTTGGTTTTAGGTTTTTGAAAGACTTTTCTATCTAAGTTTCTTTTTGTTTTCTGTTTCTTACAGGTAGTCAAGGATATTATATATTGAATCATGAAGTTGTCTTTTTTTCGATTAACTTCTTTTATGCATCTTGTAATGTCTTTTTCTTCTTGTATCCAAAAGACAATCCGCTCATTTTTGTTAATGAATTCTTTTCTCAACAGGCTTCTTTTTTCTTGTGAAGGTTTGAGGATATTACTTAAGTATGTTTTGGTTTCATTTTCTATTTTTCCTAGAATATTGACTGCCATTGCTCCTAGTCTATAGATTCCTTTCTTTTTTATAAAATATGGATTTATTGATAGTACCATGTCTCTATTCCTGGTAATATAAGAGCTGTATTCGCTAATACATTGTTTTTTGACTATTTCTTAAAGTTCCTGTAATTCAAGCTCTTCTGTCTCCTATATACATATTATTGTTACTTCATTATTCACTATTGATTCATTATTTACTTGTTTGATGATCTCCATTGATTGTCATTCTGGTTTAATATAGTTTACAGGGTTTTTGATAATTTCCATAAACTTGTCTATAATATAGGGTTATAGAAGATCTTCTTTTATCTCTTTACCTTGTTGTTAAAGATATGTGATATGTTGAGTTAAAATTCTTTTCTTGTAAAAGGTTGTCAGATCAACTTCTAATATCTTAGCTATAATACTATCTAAGATCATATATATTTCAGATGATAGGACTATTGATCCATTAAGTTCACTATTTTTTAGTTGTAGTAATTGTTGTAAGGCCTATAGGATAGAGTGTTTGTCATATTTTCTTGAGAGATTGATTAGGGTATTTACTATATCCTCTTCTCTCTTATTGACTATTTATAATATATGTTATGCTCTATTCATATTTATTGGTTTGAATCTATTGATAAATCACATGAATACTTATTTATATTTATAAATGATCTATTTTTAGATCACAGATAAATCTTTTTTGAGATTGTTGTTGTTTATATGTTTCAATTAGGTAATACAGATAAACCTTATTTATTGTTTTGATGTGTTTATTTATTTATATTGATAATTCTATACTACTTTTAGGAGTTGTTGTCATGATTGTGTAGAGTGTTAATCAACTTGTTTAGATAATAAGTTGTATATGTACGTATGTGTTTTGCTTGTCCCTTTTATATGTATACTTGTTTTGCTTATCTAACTTTTACATGTTTGTGTTTGTGTAATAAAATAAAGGATAGGTATGTTGTTTATGTGTGTACGTATATTTAGACTATCTTGTTTTTAGGAAGCTTTGATATCCTTCTAGGCCTTTAAGTAATTAAAGCAACTTGCTTTATTGAGTGGGCTTAGTTGCTTTTTAGGTTCCTTACAGTATTATAAAAGGTGTTAACCTGTACTAGCCTGACTGTGAGCTATGTGAAGTTGATATTGGCTCCCTTATTTTGACTGTGAATCAGTTTACAAGTTTTTTTTCATTCTCCTAAAATTTTTAAGAAAAAGAAGTAAAAGAAAGTTAGTAAAGTATTATGTACATCTTTCCTTGATGTTTCTGAATAACTTGTTGTATATATGTTGAAAGTACTTGATAGCTTGGTTCAAAAGATATGTTGTTTTTCCTTGTATGTTTGAACTGATTCACTTTTTTTAAGAAAATTGCCAAAAAAGAAAATTTTTGAAAAAAATGAGGATCAGTGGAAAGAGTTTTTTTTTTTTTATACATATAAAATTGTATCAGAAAAAGTTTTTTTTTTTGTAATAATTTTATTTCTTTATATGTAACTATATACTATATTATATAGACTATTATCATATTGTCTAATGTTTGGATTTTATTTTTTATAATTTTGATTTAAGATTTGTTTTGTACTTCTATTTTTTTATTTTGAGTTATAGAATATTTAAACAAATGTTTTAGAGTTATCTTTTGTAATTTACACATAGAATATATAATGTCTGAATATATTTGGTTTCATTTTGTATTACTTAAAGGATAAGAAATTTATTATGGATTAAATTTATCAAAAAACTTTTATATTTGTTAATTTTGAAAAATATGAATAGTATAGTGTGAATTAAACTGTTTTCAAAACTCATATATATATATACTATATATAATAAAAATTTTTTTAAAAAAATAAAGGAAATGATATAAACTTTTAGATGATATCTTATACAGTATATAAATTTTATTATTCTTAAAGGTATAATTATGAATTTAGAAATTATCAAAGTTTGTTGAGTTTATCCAAATTTTTTTGAGCCACTGCATGCATAAATATCTTCTCACAACTTATGCCAAACTTATGAATTTTATATAAGTTTTATAAAAAGTTTAATAATTATTTATGATAAAAGCAAATTTTACGATATACAATTCGTGTTTGACCTTTTACATTGGAATACCATCTTTAAACAATTATAAAATTAATTTTATTTGTTTAAAAAATTTTGGAATTAGGGTATAATAGAAACATTGATCTTTTTATCGATCAAATGGTCATATAATCTAAAAGTCAATGATTATAACTTTATTTACTGATCGTTAGGAAAAATTTACATATTTTATTTATTTTTATTACCAAATGTATGCATGTTGAATAGATTGTCTTTCTTTTTTTTACTTAAAATTATACGGAAAGTTAATGATTTTCACGATTCCAAATTTAAGGCGAACCGCGCATAATTACTGTACGATAGTTATTTAAGGGGGTAATTTAAAATTATTTTTCATTCCGTTAGATCACGTGACAAATCGTTGTATCAGCCAAGCATGTACTACATCATTGTTTTATAAAATCCTATCCTAATTCGGTTACTTGTTCTCGGTCTTCTACGATGCGAATTACTCGTTTGGCAAAACCTCTTCATTTAAATCAAATTCGTTGTTTGTCAATTACGAGAACCAATTTCGCATCCCTTGCCAGTAATTCATCTTCCCAAAATTTGAATTCCAAATCATCGCAACAAAATACTCAAATTCTCCTCGGTGATCAAATCACCAGGGTTCGTCTTTCTCCAGAGTTTGGTAAAAATCAGCATCTGCCGATTGGCAACGAGCTAAGGGAGAAATTGAAAAAAGTACTACATAGCTTCAATGCACCAGTAAGATATGCGTTTGCCTATGGAAGTGGAGTGTTTCCGCAGAAAGGTTATGAGGGGAAGGTGTGTGGAGTTGTTTACTTTTTCACACATCTTGAAAAATTCGTTAAACTCATTCTAATTTAATCAAATCATAATTAAGCCCCAGCCAATGTTAGATTTCATATTTGCCGTAAATCATCCACAACATTGGCATTCTTTAAACATCAAACAAAATAGAAATCACTATTCCTTTATGGGAACACTTGGTAGTGGTGCAGTATCGATATTGCAGGAAAATGTTGGTGCTAGCGTTTATTTCAACACACATGTAAAGATGGACGGCATGGTATGTGCACGATCCATTTGCATTATCAATCATCTTTCGTCTCTATCATTTAACTTGAACATTACGTTTTCAATTTCCGATAATGTAGTTAATCAAATATGGAGTGGTATCCATTGACTCATTGTGTAAGGATTTATTGAATTGGGAGAATCTTTATGTGGCGGGGAGAATGCATAAGCCTGTAAGATCATCTACTTTTCTCACGTTTTCTCGATCTCACGTTACCCAATAATTTGAAGGTAAACCTCACTTTAGATCATAATATTGAGAGATGACGCACGGGTGCGTTTGGCTCAACAAGTGAATTTGGCCAATTCCTTGAGAGCAGCCTTACTCTTACTTCCAAAAGATTTCACCAACGAGCAACTTTACATCACTATCGCAGCAATGTCTTACAAAGGTATTTCAAGAATTTCAGTGTTGTGTTAGACTCTAACATAAAATTGATTAAACTCTCTCCCATACTACAGGAGACTTTCGTAGATACCTTGGAGAAAACCCAAACAAAATAAAAAATATAGTTTCAAAGCAGATGGACAGTTTCGATTTATTATATGCAGATCTGATCAAGGGATTGCCGAACGTATCATTCGCGAGTGACTACAGGCTTCAGGTACTGTGCACTCTCAGAATGGGTAGCAGACAAACTTTTTGCTGGATATATATATATATATATATTTTTAACCCTTTATTATTGATTTTTAGCAAGATGATAATCCAAGAACCCATGCCAAAATGATACAAGATTTGCCACGTTTTCTAAGGCACAAAGTTCGGGAGGAGCATAAGATGCAATTGATCAGAAGCGGAAGGCCTTGGATATCTGGTGAGAAGTAATGGTTCTCTGATGTTTTTATACGATTACAAAACCTTCTAAACGCATTTAATCATCAATGGATAATCTACAGATGAGAATGAGATTTACAGAAGTATCGCATCTTCCGGAGAATATAGAAAATACCTAGAAACTGGTAATTTGATGTTTTATGTTGTCCAGATTTGTTCACGCTGTTTTGGGAAGTAACGTCATCAAAATCATCATTACGCAGGGTTGGGTGAAATAATATTTTGGCCTACTTTAACTCAAAGCTTGAAAGGTATTTTGACGGCAGGAATACTTAAAAGTGCAAAATATACTTCAAGTAAAATTTCAAAATGGTTATTCAGGCCACAGTAATATGTAATTGGTTTATAATTTTCGATTGTTGTGGGATTTATCATCATTGTCACATCTTTTAGATATATTTATAAAATTGACAACCTTTATAAGTTTGGGTTTTAGAGAGGTTCTTGTATTCAAAAAAATAAGAAGGAAAAAGAAGAAAAGAAAATTAAATTGGTTTATTTCAAAGATATAATAGAAAAAAACATTATTCGATCATCATTAAAATCAATAAAAAGACAGAGGACATCTATTTGATTGGCGAGAATATAATAACCGCATAGATTAAAATATTTGGCCAATACAAACAACAAATGAATGGTAACAAATAGCTACCAAACAGTTCATATTCCATTATAACCCAACTCAAAAATTCATCTAGGTTTGTACCAGATATGATCAATATTCCCGGCGGTGAGATCATAATCAATATCAATAGCTGTAAAATGTTGATCAAATCTCTGGATAATAATCGACCTATTTGAGTCAATGAAACATTTTCTGAAACCGAATCTTTCTTTGATGGGGCTTCGGTAGATGAGCCAGATCTCGGGGAATCTCCGTTCTCGAAAGATTCTGTTTTGATGGTGGATTCCGAATCATCGGAAGGTGATGATTCGGATGTTCCTGATGAATTCACGAAAGAAAAACCATTTGACATTGGCTGAAATAGTGAAAATGGTATTACGACCATTGACGACACAAACACGGCCAGACTAAAGTTCAACACTGATAAACAGGATATTATCATTGCCGTGAATGCAAGAGTGAATGACTTCAGCACAATCCAATCGGGAGCTGCAGGCGGTAGTCGATGCAGTTGTTGTCTAACGAGATGGCTCATGTTGCGATGAGTTCTGTTGTGGCATGCAGTTATCAAAATCAGCGATGTCACTATAGAGATGTTTGTGGATATTGCCAAAGTGAACAAGTGACCCTAATGTGATTTGCATCAAAAGGAATTGATTACTAAATAGTAGCTCTTCTCGAGAGGTAATACCACATGAAAAACCTTTGGATTTCCAGTAATCCATCGATTACTGCAAATTCCGGCGCTTTTTGAATAAAGTTTCGGATCACGGGTTGACCGTTGGCAATTTCAAAATTTGGAAATAATGCGAATGTCAACCAGCAATGGAAACCTCATTCTCAATATGCGCCAAAATTTGGGAACATGGGAAACCAAAAGTTTCCCAATATTATTTTTCGATCGATGTAGGGTGAGGGACATCGCGTACTCACGTCAATTCCAAAGATGTATGACATCTTACTCCAAATGAAATGATTTTTAACGACAAAGAAGATCAGAAACCCAGCAAAGTGAGCTATGATCAATGCAGCCACTGGAAAATGAATTTCCCTTGGGCGCCTAATATACGCTAAGGGAGAAATGTGTGCATCAGTAGCGGGTGAATCCGGAGGTTGTACCTGTATCTTTTCTCTTCCTTCCACAGCGCCATCTCCCGTTTCTGCCCATAAATCTAGAGCGTGAACAAAATAAAAATAAAAAAAAGATATAATTAAGGAATTCATATACGGTAGGAAAACCAACCAACCATTTTGTAAACTACCGGTCTAAGAATTAAAGGATATGTGAAAAATAAGTCCAACTGCAAACAATATTGCAGGCGGCAAATATGAACCAATGGAAATATACCTCTCCGGAGATGTTAGTAGGTAAAAGAAGAAAGATTGATGAAGGTGTTCTAGAAGATTGTTTAAACTTCGGAATGTTGATTCAACCATGCTGATACGGCAAAATTTGAAATTGCAATTTTGATATTATGCACAAAACAAACATCTTTAGAAAAAAAAAAAAAACCCCCCCCCAAACCAAACCAAAAAAAAACAAAACTCACGATCCAATTTCATAAAAACTATAGTGATTGGTGTTAGGTGATTCGGTCAAACCGTATAAAGTGATTGCATCAATTTTGTATCTTTATGTTAAGCATAGGGTTAGCCATACGGTGAAACTAGGATCAGGCAATTCTTACGCAACCTACCTAAAAAATAATCCATGACTCCCGGTTGGGTGGCCCAGAGCTTGATATCTCATTGTTGTCAATAAATTGTGAAGCGATGATTGATAATCTCCCGCATCATTATTGACGTAATAATGCCCAGAACCATGCAATGATATCGGGATATTGGTGGATACTCGGCAAATACGAACGACGGTGTTTATCAGATCCAAATTTGGAAGTTGTCCATTTAAACCCTCTTTGGAATGCAGAAGGAAAGTTAGGAGGTGAATTACGCGTCGCGTGGAGAGTAATGAGACGTCATTGTCTACCAAAAAACAACCCTAGGGCCTTATAATCATTGATTCCAGGAAAATCCAAATTTATCGCCGCCTGGATTGCACCAGATCTCAATAGCAAGGGAGATGCCTTTATATCTAATGATGTCATCACAGTGTTGGGCATTAGGATGTATGAAAATCTTTACGAAAATCCATCCGATGGTGGATACCTGATAGCTGGTGATCGTGGTATGACTCCAGCCATGCCTGAACACCTGCTTCGCCACCGTCCGTTATCAAAATAATGATGTCTTTTGACCAATATGTATAATCTAGACGAAAGGGTGCATTCTCTTGAGCACAATTTCATGCAACCAAACAAATCAAATTTTGTGATTACCGGTCCTCTTGAAGAATTTGCCTATCGAAAGGACCGCCGCTATTCCACTGACGTTGACTGAATGTTTTGCACAAAGTGTAAGAAGTTAGTGATTTCAAGCACCTTTGAAAAAGGAAGCGAGCGAATTCCGTCCATCTTACTAGTCACTCCGTCTTTTGACCTCCATGGTGCACTAAGAACTAAGGCTTCCGTTCCATCAGCTCGCGGAGCATTCAACACACCAAACACGTTTACCCCAGAGATGACCTGACGGAAGTTAACACAATTTAAGATGATCAACTTTCCGGAAACATGTTAGACGCAAGGTGGCTCGTTAATAATGACCGACCTTTCCTGAAGTTGTTACGGTAAAATTTTGTTTCGCCGTTTTTAATCCCGACTTTCTCAATTGCTCTTCTATGTAGTTGGCTTTCCTATGATAAAGGCATGTTACGTGAATCCAGTGGTGAATAATATATGAGGGTCCACGGCGACATGCAATCTTACTCTATACTAGACGAATTTATCCTCGCCAAAATTTCACCCTTATAAGCCATCGCCTCAAAAACCTGTGGCCAACTATAATAAGTATTTACCTATTGATTAATTACAATGGTGAAAAGTCATTTGGCTTATGCGACGGTGTAAAGACTTTTGGATTAAAAACAAAAAAGAAAGAAAGAAAGAGGAGTTGATTGAATGAAATTTTGAAGCGATGTGCAAACCTGGCCAGGAAGAAGGGCATTTTCCGATATATAAGTATGTTTGCTATATTGCTCTAGGGGGAAAATAAACAACCAACCCACACCAATTGCAAATAAAAGATAGCTAGAAACAACGCGGATGGAAATTAATAAATTTCGGAAATTTTGGATTGGAAAGCAAAGTGATACGCGAACGATAAGAACCGAAGCTTTGGAACCCATTTTTTCAACGAGCGAAATAATAATCTACGCCTTCGAAGTTTTGCGAGGGTAGAATTGGTGGCGGCAGTCATTATCTCCGAAAGAAAAAAAAAAATGGAATTTGAGTCTGGTCTAATGTCAACCAGGGCTTTTTTTTATACCGATGCGCTGAGGGTGCACAGTTAGACCAAATATAGTTACAATCTCGAGTTAATTACAATTGCACACACACAACTATACGTGTGTTGATTTGGTCGACACGTGTTTTCCGCGAATAACAAAAATATATTGAAAAAAAAATAAATCTTAAACATAATTTGAACCTACGTCAGAAACGGTGTAAACAAAGGAGAAAAAAAAATATACTATACGTACAATATATTCATAATCAACCATCGAACTCCGCGAAATGATCGTAACTCGCCAGATTGAAGAAGTGTATTAACAGTAGCTCACAAAACAAGAAAAATAAATAAATGCGAATATAATTTTGACAGCGATATACAGTATATGATTATTCTGTATCCCGTTCAGATTTGCATGTTTATTTGTTTGCAATTTATTTTTTATATTGTCAAAATAAATTTCTTTTTATCTTAAATATAACCATATGGTAATCAATTTGTCAAAATCGATTATTTTTATAATTACAATATTAAAAAAAAAAAAAAAAAAAAAAAAAAAATACATCCTTATGCGATATATGATACAGAATATGATCTATTGGTGATTATTTTCAATTTTTTGTCTATTTAATCTAATTCGATTGTAAACGTGAATATTATAAGAATAATGTACATCTTGGCCTGACGTAAACTTGATACCCAAAGAATAGCTCAGTATTCAATATCCTCACCATGTTGAATAAAAAGCAAGTATATTGACCAGCATATGATTATGCTAGACCATCTCCAAAATGAACCGCCATAATCCAGGTACCCGTAGTGACAAAGCAAAAGGTGCGTGTAAACTGCGATGATTATGGGCGTTGTTAAGGAAGTTACGAAGCGCAAGATTTTTGCGGCCTAGAATGACAAGGCTGGGAGTAAACAAATGAACATAATAGGGATAACATGAACAAAGATATTTTACCCTTTCCTCCCCTTCGCTCTGGTGAAGACCGCTGTTTCGAGATTCCACCGAATTGTTTATAAAATAGAATGCTACCGATACGACGGAGGCCCGATAAGCAAGAGAGACAAACACTTGTAGTGATAATGCTTTTTGTATCGCAGCCACGGAACGAACATTTCCAATAAGATCGATGAAACCTTTCACAAAAGTTTTACCATCGATGCTAGAAAAGATGACGAGTTAAAGAGTAATATGATCAAAGTTAAACGAACATATTACTCGGATACAACTTACAACTTACTTACCCGTATAAGTATTCAACGAAAGATACAATACTAAAATCTCGAATGTTGAGCGGGAGAGGTTGCACTTTATCTTCATCCACCAATATCGTTCCACCCCCTTTTTTTTCTTGACCCCGATTGGACGTCAACATGTATATGCAATAAACATTGTAGGAAAACTACAAGGTGATTAAATGTATCTTCGTTATATGATAACCTATTTCGCGGTTTCAACATTAGAAATCGAAAATCTGACCAACAGAGCGGTATCCGTTATGAGTCCTTTGTCGGTATTAACAAAAAAACTGTACGTCAAAAAACAGGTCAACGTCATGAGAGATCCAATGAGTGTTGCGGTTATGAGATCCATTCCAGGCAGACTGTATGCCGCATACAGGTAATAACACGATGCCAGATATATTGACATCGATCCGATCAAAAGGTATACCTGATTTATGTGATGACATCAGTTACGGGAAAATGTGAAGTGGTCGGTGACAAAAGGAGTACAATTTACCCACCTCTGGTGTCGAGTTTTTGTCGACCATCCTTTTCACAGCGATTCTGCTCGTTAAGATCACAAATGCGGTAGCAACCCCTTCTATCATTACGAACAACGGCGCAGAATATGACAACAAGCCTTCGTAAAAATTTAGGATGAATGGTAATTCCTCTGATTTTTCTTCAATTATCGAGGAGTAAGTTAGTCGAAAGGAGTGAAACAGAAGGTATGGAATTGTGAACGGCTGGGATAATTCGAGGAGCTGTGGCTATTACCAGTTTGTGGGTTCGGTGACGAATTTAATTGAAACGTATTACGCAAAGCTTGGCGCACGATAATTCAAATATGTTTGTTTTTGTTTTTACTCACCACTATCCAACCCAGACCCTCCTTCTTCCACCACATTACTCTCGTCAGACCCAACGCAATGTAATAAAAAAATAGCGCGAATGATAAAGCTAGACCCGTTGCGCGTCCCCCAATGTCAAACGACAAGGGTAAAAGGAATAGGAGTAATATTTGATTTGCACTATTGAAAAAGTTCAACAACCTCATGCTTTCTCCAACGTCGTTCACGTACGCACGTACGTGTTCTGCTTGCTGTTTTATTGGGATTTTCATTGGAATTCATCACGTGCCTATCATATTTTGATTTGATAAATTTCCCAAAAACTATAGCGAAGTTCGTTTAAATAGGAATTGATTTATTCATTAAGATTTTAAATTGTCATCATTTCTAACATTGAGATTATAATTCCATGTTTTTTTTTTTTCGGAGGATGTGGTGTTCAGTGAAGTTTGAAGTTTCGTTTTACTTCTGCAGCCTAATGAGTCTAACGTAAATAAAATTTTTGCACGAGTTCATCTGCCTTGTTGATATCATCTCCGGCTCTTGCGATTCTATACCGAATTTCAAAGTCAAGATCTCGAGGATTTTCCGAGCTCTTACGACAATCAAACGACCCGGTGATGATTGTCCCTATTTGGAGAAAAAAAAGAAGGAAAGAAAAAAAAAAAAAAGGTCAAAATTGGTTGAACAGTTCAATGACTAATGTCAACGGGACGCACCAAAAGTTTACCTTGATTCACCGAAATAATGTGCTCGAGGAAAAATATCGTCTGCCGCCAGTGTGTCACTTCCCCGTAAGGGCCTGTAGTAAAGCTTATGACGTCAGCAACCTTGTCAGTTGCATGCTGGGAGAGTGGGATGTCATGACCGTCTCGTGTGAACCAGGTATCAAAATACCCCACGAACCCGTGCAAATAACCGTCCCGTGTAATCTCCAACGTGAAGGGAGAAGTAAAGTCCACTTGACTTTTGTTGATAACACGTAACGGCACTTCCTTAACAACATCGCGAAATTAACGTGTTTGACAAACATATTGCATATCAACCACAATGTTATTAACGAGCGCAACGCAAAGCAATAATATATACCTTTATGGGAACCACATTAGAAATGACTGCTTGCGGCTTCACACAATCAACCACGGCACTTTTCTTAATAGGAGCCTTCATGGCAGTCATTCTAAATCCTACATCGAAAAAGGGCGATCAAATTAACCATTACAACGCGAACCCGCCTCCGGGATTGTATTTCTGCATACCATAAACGTCATTCCAAAAATTGAACGTGTCGTTAAACAAATCCTCGTCCTCAATTGCGGCCAACAGCAGACGACATTGACTGGGTGCAACTATGAAATGATATGTTTGCTGAAGGAAAATCGGGAAAACACCTTTTCTGTCCCATCCACACTTCAATCAGATGAACTTACGAATTCCATCTGGTGCAAGCCACCGATCGCGTGCAACTATCAAGGAGTCTAACATTGCCTCAAAGAATAGAAAATATCCCATCCACTCGGATATAATGATGTCGACCTTTTGCACCGGAAGATCGACTTCTTCAACCTTGCTATTTATGAGGCTACCCGTGTTTCAATTACCGTGAGTATCACATGTTCCTCGTTGAATCAAAGAAACGTTAGATTTCATGAATCGTTTTTACGTGATAACGTCCTCCAGCTCATTCTCTTTGACAATCTCTTTTGCCCGGTGGATAATGTCCGATTTGTCCACCGAGAAAACTGCAAAGCAAATTCAATTCCACGGATGGGTCAATTCGCTGGTGTGCGTGGTTGTCAAAGTGCGATCGCCTAAGGAAAGATTGAGAACATACCCCTGGACGCACCGGCTTTGGCAGCGAACATTGACAATATGCAGGTTCCTAAACAGTATGTTTCCTTGATGAAGGTTCGTTCTATTTTTTTTTTTGTGAGAATGAATACCATGCTTACCACATCCAACGTCCAGTACGGTCTACGATGATGGAATTTAAGGAGGGAGGAAGAAAGAAAGAAAGAAGGGCAATGGTCACCAACAACATTCAGGGCGGGGACATGTCGAATGAAATAGCCCCCCACCTTTCCCTTGAAGAGATCCTTGTGTTCATAAATGAAATCACGGTAGCTTCCGGTTCGAATGCGATCTTTCAGCATTTCCTCGTGAATATCTGAAAATTCATTTCCCAATCTTAGGATGATGGCCGATCGAAAGGATCATGAACTGTGCTTCTCATAAACAAACCATTCTTTGCATAAGAGTTGAAATAGTTATCCGTCCCCTCTTCATAATTGCTAATTTGCTGCGCCAAGTTTACCGATTTTTCGCTGGTTAAACACGTTCAATCCATATTTATCACTGCCGCATTTGAAGTAAGTGCAGGGTGAAATTCACACGAGCTACCTCTTGGTATCCGAATAAACATCATAAAACGATTCTTTGACCATCTGGCGGTATTCATCAAATTGCGACTCCACTCTCTTGAGTTGCACTTGGGTGTTTAGAAGTTTTTCTTCGACCATCATCAGTCGCTCAAGAAGATCCTGCTCCATCGGCGTGGAGATACTCGTGATCTTCAATGACTCTATGAAGTAAGATCGAATGGGTTTATTTCATCTAATCTCGAGGAGCACTTCGAATGTAATTTAAGCAAGACCTTCAAGATTTTTCAAACGAACTCTTTCATCAAAGTCTTCTTCGATTTCATCATTCTCAAATCCTGCCGTGCGAAAGAAGATTGTGCGCGATCAATGAATGGGGCGTTCGGCCGGTGAGCCTGAAGATGCGAACCCATCGGAATTCAATTCTCACCATACAACAACGGATCCTCATCAAGCACCGGCTTAAGATACGCATCGTCGTCGAGGACAGTCTGCATCTCGGGTATTGAATAAGAGGTTACACGTTCCAATTCCGGATTTTCCAACACCTAAAAAAATTTTTTTTGATCATGTGCAGAAGTTGGTTATTTGTCGGCCTCCAAGTTGAGCCAAGTGGGGAGAGAAATGCAATGCAAATGGTGACATTTTTACGAATATAATTTATCAGGCGAATCGACTGGTAAAAATCAAGCCCTACAAAATAAAATTCGAATATAAACTTTCGAGTCAAATGCACGTACAACTCACGACACTTGGGAGACGTACTCAATTCTATCCGAACTTTTTGGAAATCGAAGCCGTGGTGCTCCTTGCAATGAAGAAACAAATCGGTGGATGCGGGAAATAGCTCCTTGCAGAATAAGCATTTTGAATCTCGACGGGTCTCTTCATCCTCCTCCCAATCGTCCCACCGTTCGTCTGCATAATTTTTGTATCCATTGTGACACTCGGAAAGACAGACGAGCATGGAATTGAATTCATGACAAGAGCATCGATGTTTTACTTGCCATCAGGGTCGTATTCCGACTCGTCACGTTCTAAGGCTGAATAGAAGGTTGTTGGTTGATCGATCCTGGTAGAATCGGTTAACGACATTCCGAGTGTTTGTTGAACGAGAGGGTGTGTCATTATAGATTTTGAGAATTTAAGCGATGTTGTACAAGATTCGGGAATAATTTATTATCATCCAATCACGTCCCAGCGGTACACGATGAAAAAGATTTTCAACATGCATATTTTTCGAGTTCATCAGTTTCGCGACCGAGGGTCACTAATGAAATTTAAAATTGAACAGAGTAACCTTGCCATGCAACTATTTCAATGGAACATTAAAAAAAAATCCCGATCGATGTAACTTCTTTTTCTTTTTCTAATGAAGTTTCCAAATATAGCGTGCATGTTATGACTTGTTGGCTGGTCAATCGATGTATGGTAGAACGTGCTGTAACTGAACCAATGTTCAAGTTGGTAATAAGTTAAATAAATAACTTGCGCTTAATTTATTATCGTCTTCGTCATTAAATTATAGAATATACATATATATGTATGTGTGGTATCGATGGTAATAATATAACAAAATAAGAACGAATGACCCTAGATGGAAATAATGGGTTGGGTCGAATTATGGATGGCATGAATTTTTCGGTACAAAAAAAAAAAAAAACGAATTTCTAAAAATCCAGCTCCAACAGACACGTGAGGATAAAGTTTTCGTCACGCGCAACGTTCTTCGGTAGGAATCACCGAAAGAATGACACAAGGTCACGGAGGAAAAGATGATGTGTTGTGTTGCGCGAGAAATCAAAACTAGACTGGGGTGTTGAAAATAGGAAAGCAACAAAACGCCTAACAACATGTGACGATGATTACTATTACAATAATGTTAAGGTAACTAACTGTTAAGGATGTTAAGAATCATACTTGTATGATTACAAAGTTTTGCCGGAAATACAAGCACAACACCTCAAACGCATCATCCCCCAGTCCAAGAAATATGACATTTCGACAGACCTTGGAGATAATTCATTCGTTAATTAATCTATCAAGCGAAAGGCGAGGCATAATTTGGAATGAGACAGCAGCAGCGTCAAATACCTGATCGAAATTTTCGGGAGACATCGTTTCCATCCAATCATCATCGTTATGGTTATATAGCCAATTTATGATTGGTCCAATGGTGGTGACCGACGGTACGGGCATGGTTATACGCGTGGCATATTTGCCACAAGGGTGCGGACGAAAAAATAATGAATTGGATAGATGATGATAAATTTTTTGAAACAATTCACTTTGAGGTGTAAGGTATTGTCCGTGCACAACGATTTCTAATTCGACGCCCTGTTTACACTGCTCCGATTGTATCAATGTCCCCTTAAAGGTTTGCCCACTCTTCTTCAGCGACGGTGATACAGGAGTGTTGGAACGGTCGGGTGAACCTTGATCGCAACAATATTCTCTGACCAATTCATCTATCGCTTCCCCGGGTTCAACCTCTTGACCTCCCAAACCATCGACGTTCCAACTACATTGCGGTCGATAATCAAGGAAAGAGTACCTTTGATTCCATTCGCTGATGCTCAACAAACGCAAAATAGTGCACTTGCTGAAGACACTCTGCCCGAGCAAGGTCATCTGACTGAGTAGCTGATAAAACGTTGACACCGATAAATCTTTCGGAAAATCAACCTCGATGATATCATTTATGTGATCGCTTGGCAGGTAAGGCATGGAATTCACGATGTTCGGAATGTACGAGGACCAAAACCAAGAGGTGGTGACGGTCAAAAAATCCTCGGGAATTATTTTCGAGCTGTCGTCGATGGGTGACGATGATGCGCTTTCCGGAAACTCGAAAGTCCGAGTGCTCGACTCGAAGGATTCGTCAGTCATCTTAGGGTCATGTTGAGGGATGGTACCCTCATCCGGTAAGTTGAATTTGTCGAGGTTCTCGGTGGAAATTGAAGGAATGCCTGGTTCACCCGGTGAGATGATTGGAACCTGCTCCACAGCGGTTTCTCCGTCCTGGACTTTCTTGTTCGTAATGGCGATGAAGAAGGAAGCAAAAGGAGAAATGAAAAAGGTGAAGATGCACCGTGTGTATTGTTAAGAAAACCGTTGGTTATTATTACATGAGGCAAGAGTGGTAGATCTTAACATTGTTACATAAATTAGGTTATACCAGCATCCATAAATTATGAAAACTTACCGTTTTTTTGTTTTCGTTGCTGTTGATCACCAATGGCGCACATAACATTGTTTATTTTATGAAAATTATTTAAATGAGGAGGATATTGAATGGGGAAAACCATGAATGAATCTTATGGTTCCAACGTGCGAAAAGAGTAAAGTTTTTTTTTTTTATTCACCGTTATCTTAAAAAGATCGAGTATCACTAAAGTTGTCGATTTTGCATATAACCTCCTTGGAAGTGTGAGGAAGTGAGACAAAACTCTTTGCGTGAAACAAAATTAAAAAAAGAAAACCGACATGAAAAATGAAAGGACGAAGGTCTTCGATGGCGACGCGCAAATGAAACGGATTTGGGTTGTTAATTCGTAGCAAATAGCAAGAGATTATTTTAGAGTCCACCACGAATCGATGCATCATGTTAACTTACGTGATGTGATCAATGCAAAATGTGCAAACAAAAAAAAAAAAAAAAAACGAGAAAAAAGAAGAATAATAGTTAATATTAATAAATAAATAAATAAATAAATGTTTGATTGACTGATTGTTTTTTTTTGTTTTTTTTGACAACGTATTGGGATCATTTATCATCATTACGTAATTCCTATAACAAATGTGAATAAGAAATTTTCGGTATTAATACAATTCATGTGACCCCGCTAATATGAGGTGACCATGGTAGCAACACCGAGCACTCGCAAAAGACAAACAAGGTTGTAAGGCGACCATGCCTGAAAAGCATTGAGATCGGATTTCCCTTTTCACGTGAATCATCAGGAGGTTGCTAAGCGAGTAAGCAAGTGAATCAATCCCTCTCTCTGTTTGCACAAGGATCCGCCGAATTGGTTGTTGCAATTAATGTGATGCACACAGAGAGAGCACGCATGGTATTACGCTGCATCATTGCATTGACCATCCAAACGAGAGAAAAGGCAATGCTTGTTTATTCGGTTATATGATTCTTGGAGGCGACTCTATCCCGCATGTTTACTCCTCGGGGTGAATTGGAATAATTTAAACTTGACGGGAATCAGGAAAATATGTGCCGCAAAATCTTCCAAAATGGCAATTTTTTTCTTTATTATTATTATTATTATTATTATTTTTTTTTTTTTTTTATTTTTTTTTGTTTATTTTATTTTATTTTTTTTGTAAATTCGTACTTTCTCCCTCAACGACATGGGTAGTGATGTTTTATCAACCGTATCAATTGTTTCCTCTTATAGTATAGGCGTTCGTGATCAACACAAAACCCAATTTGTAATTTTATTTCCAACCCGCTGTCAAATTGTGAATTTGATATTTTATAAACGAGAAGACGTGCAGTTCAATGTACTACTTACTTGAGAGTAAGAAATGTTCAAAGAAAGACTAGTGAGACACGACCATACGCGGGTCCAAGTGAGAAAAGATCGAAGTAACTGAGTAATATAAAGTGCCACAAAAGAAGACACACGTGTGAAATACGTCAATAAAAGCAGAATAGTGATGATGACAAGAGCAGTGAAGGAAAAAAAAAATGACTATAAAGAAAATCATTGTCTGAGAAAATGGCATTCTTCATTGCTTTGCCTAATTAAAAAAAAAGAAAGAAAGAAAGAAAAGAAAGAAAACACAGAAACACCATATCATCATCCTTCACTCATGTATACCAGTGCACTGGACAAATCAAGGGAAGAAAGTGTTCTGATACGACTCGATAAGATTTAAACTCAATTTTCGTTCACACTACTTCCTCCATTTACGCTTGAACCACTCACGCTAGCCCCACTCACGCTGGCTCCATTCACGGTCGTCCTATTATTAGCATTTACCCCTTCATTCGAACCTTCTCCGTTCATGATTTCAGCCCCCGAGGTTTTTCCGTTTGTGTTGTTTCTCCAATAGTTGCCCCTACTCATATTTCCGCCGTTGAATCTTTTGTTTTTGTTAGGCCTATGCGCCATCTTGATCTTTGCGCGAACACCATTCAAGTAGATAAAGCCTTGTTTGATCGCGCGTTGGTATGCTTCTTGATAGCAAAATTCTACAAAGGCACAGCTCTGGTGATTTGATTAGATTGAAATGAGTGTGCATGCATATGCAAGAAACATGTATTGCGATTCTCGCAAGCGAAATCAAAAAAAGAAAAGAAAAGAAAAGAGAGAGAGGAAGAAAGAAAGAAACACATACCCTAGCACGAACGATCTCGATCGAGGTGACTTTCCCAAAGGTTTTCCCAAGGATCTTTCTCAGGGTCTTCTCATCGATGTCGTTTGTCACCGCACCAACGTAAATTCTACGCCACTCTTGGGGATTATAACATTGAGGTGAACTCCTAATTGCTATCGGGTCAAGGATTTCGATAAAAAATTCAAGGTTCACCTTCCCGCTCGCAAGAAAAGCTTAAGAAATGAAAAGGGAGACATCCCACCTTGTTGAACATCGTGATTTAAAGTCTTCAGAAAATTTGTTTCCCCATACAAATCCGTGTCTCCAATATATGGTACGTTGTAAGCATAATCGCCCATGAAATTATTGTTACTGGCGGTTCCGCTGGCGCTAATTGTGCTGCCATTGAAACCAGCATTACTTTCGAACCCATTCTCTCCGTTGAACCCTCCGCTGTTTTCAAAACTCACTCCATTGTCAAAAACACCAGCGTTACTAGTGAAGGCAGAGGCTGCACCGTTGCCGTAAGTGACACCGCCGTTATTAAAAGCCGTTCCGTTGTTATAGGCGACCCCAGGGAAAAAGGTTGTACTCGTACCACCCGATGCACTGATAGGTGATTTCAATAACAAATCCCTGATCAGATTTCTTTGAGTCTGTATGAGCTCATCTTGAACTTGGGCGATTTTATGATACTTCACGACAAGTATCTCCTTAAAATCATTTTGCGACTTCAGGGATGGACAAATGACGCATTCCACAGCTTGGGGAGGAGGTGATAGTTGAAGTGGGTGTTGATCGGTTTGATGTCCGGGATACGAGTGATTTGATTGGTGTTGGTTTTCCGAATGAGGATGATCTTGTTGGACTTGTTCGGTCATCTTTGGCGAATGAGAAAATCGTGGACTTGTGTGAAGGTGGTGGTGAGGGTGAGAGGGAAGAAGAGATATTCTATTTAGTCTAGAGGATCACGAAAAAAATAGATTGAGTAATCGAGAAAAAAAAAAAAAAATTATGATATTTCAATGACGTCTGAAGTCTGAATTTCGGAATTGTCCATAATTTTAAAGGTGATACATGATATGATGATAAAGATTTTTTTTTTTTTTTTTTTTGTCTTATCCCACCCCCCAAAAGTCGATAAATTAAAACCGCAGACAATTTCAAGAGACGTCTATGACTCAGCTCATGTATGGAACGCCTAGGAGATAGATATGTTGGTATTTTTGGATCATGAAGATTGATATCAATTGAATCATTTCTCGACGACACACGGCATAGAATAAATTGATTTTTATACTGAGAATTTGAAGTTAGCAAACGTAAATATGAGGTCAATTACAATGGATGTTTGGATGGATTGATGTGAATTAAGCAATTTTATAAATTGTTGTTATTGGGAAGGATTAGGTAAGCGAGGTAAATAAATTAAATATGTTAAGGAACTCTCAATGCTAAAAATACACTCATTTACAACACTCAAACTGCTGTCGGCAATTTCCCCAAGTCTCCTTTTGCAATCATCCTCCGTCTTTTTCATCCATGTCCATGGCGCCGCCATCGTCATGAAGATTCACAGTCTCGGATGCTCTAATCTTGAGCCACTGCACCACAAATGACAATAGTGAGAAGAAGGCGGCGAGGCCGAGGGTAATTGCGGCGATCGCTCCCACGCTAAGAGCCAATCCTCCGCCGTCCTTCCCACTTGCATTACCACCAACATTATTACCACTGACATTTCCCCCACTGCAATCATTACTTGGCGCACCTCCTAAACTTTCCTTTCTTATCACCTGAACCACATCCAGTAATTCATGTCCGTTATCCTCCGTCAAGTCCCAGACCATTACTCCTCTCAACCCTTGTTGTCTGATGTAAACAATTTTCATATAGATAGATTGTGGATCATCATATGATATATAGATTCCTGTCCCTTGATTGTATAGCCATGGTGTCTGCGTTGTGTTGTCAAAGTTTCGTACCCAACCCTCGTCAGTCGTGTTCAATGTGCATGTTAGAATCCCTTGTTCTCTTAACCCATACCAACTCCATATTCCTGAATACGCCGGTTTGGAATTTGGGCAGGGATCCGCCCAAAGTTGATCCGATTGATCTCCTTGCGGAACCACCGGATCCCGAGGAACATATTGACTTGATGACATCGGTGCGAGCGCTTTCTGCGCTCTTCCCAGGAACTCTATGCCCATTACCATTTTGGACGCAGGCATACCCGCATTCAGCCAATTGGAAACGGCATTCTTGAATGATACTTGGTTTGTAGTTGTGCCGGGGACATCGAAAGGTGCATTTGGTCCTGTGAGCTTTGTCCATTCGGCCCCTGATCCATCGTCAACGCTAACATCGTATGCCTGTAAAATTGTGAGCGATCAATGTGTGTTTAGGAGAGACAAGAGAATAAATTCGTGCATACACACCATCACATTAACCCAGTCCACTAATTTGGCAAAAGCGCTAACATCACTAATTGGTCTGTCAGGTCCGTCAAATGTCTCCCCTCTTACCGCCAAGGTTAACAACTTGTCATTTCCGAGTGCCGCCCGTAGCTCTGTTATCAAGGCAAGAAAATTGTTCGTGTCGTTCGGGCTGATGGCATTGCAAGCCATCCCTTTTCTTCCCGGATATTCCCAATCGATGTCAACCTAGGGTAGATTAGAGCGATTTTTTTTTTTTTTTTTTTTTTTAGTATGGTAAACGCTGTGGAATTCTTTCAAAGGCAACCGAAGGACAGGTAAAGCCCTACCCCGTCCAATTTAAATTGATTAACGAATGAAACAGTGGAATTTATAAATTTCGCTCGTGAACTGGAAGACGAAGCTAATGTGCTAAAATATTGACTTCCTGTCCATCCTCCAATTGCAATCGAAATCTGTAATCACAAAGGTTTAAGACAACTTTTAACTAAAATAATACACAGATGGTTGCTTCAACTTACATTAACATTGTTTGCATGCGCATAAGAAACCATGGCACCTAAAATCAATTGATTTTCGGAGCTGAAATTTAGCGCGAACGTTTCATCCACCAAAGCAAAAGCTACCAAGCAAAATAGACACTTCATGAGTGTACTGGTCCAAGATCATAAAGGATTGTGAAGAGACTTTCTAGTCACCAAAATTAAGATGTGTAATTTCCGTCCAAGGCAAATTGTTTTCGGCCAAAAACCCACGCCTCCAATAGGCCCAATAGGCAACTATCACATTGTCATTGGGATTATTGGTGGGCGTTGGAAGAGGGGTTGAGGAAGTTGTCGAGGTTGCGCCAGAATTTGTGCCGAGAGCTGAGGTGGAGGCACTACCGCTGGATTTTGTGATAGTATTATTGAGAATTGTTGTGGTAGCGGAAATACTCGCTGATTTATTTGATATGTTCGATGGTATTATCTGAGTTGCGGGGGTAGATTGTGAGCTAACGATGAAACATTGAAATGCAATTATAAAATTTACGAAAATAATCAAGAGGAACGACCTCTTTGAAATGGAAAGAAACATTTTATGTTTAATGCATAACTTTAGCAAAGTTGGTGGCCATTGAATTTCCGTAATTAATATTTTTGCCTTATTTGTCGCTCATTAAATACGTGTAACTAGCTGCTTAAAGAATTAGTATAGTACAAATTGTCGGACATCCGATACGCATTCATCAAAGACGTATACTATATACATTTAATGTTTGACGCAGAAAACCATCAAAGCAAGAGCTTAGCTTAGATAAATAAGATTTTAACTTTTTTCAAAAAAAAAAAAAAAAAATCCCCCCATAATATTCGAAAATTGTTTTCAAATTTCAAACTCTGTATAATTCGAAATCGATTAAAAGAAAATTACTATTATTTGATTAATTTATTAATAAAAGTATACAAAATATTTGTTTTTAATTCTTAAAAATAAATAATAATAATTATCAAGCAAATAAAAATAAAAATTTTAATCTTATCCATGCACTAATAATTGGTTCAAATTGATATATGGTTGCTTCCAAAAGTTTGAGTCCACTTACTATGTTTTTATTATAAATTTTAACTTTGACAATTTTTAAATCATTAACTATACAGTCAAAA